GAATGTTGCATATGCCCCTCTGGATTGTCTCTTGTCACCCAGGTACCCTTATGAAGAAGCCGTGCCTATTGCATTGGGAACACTCCAAGAAACAGTCAAATCTATGAAGGAGGTACAGTTTTCATCTCTGGTTTCATTCATGCATTGATTGTCGATACCTCTGTTATGTTTGGCAAGCTATTTGCGGATGAAGTTGCCACGTATTCATCTTTTTTTCTGTTCTTTTGAACCTCTTCCCGTTCTTTTCAGTGCCCTTCGAAGAAAGGGGATGAACCGCGGCTACATCAGAAAACGTGGACATTAATCTTCTGTCAATAATATGTTGAGATGATCACCCAACAAAACGTGTTTTGGGAAACAGCTGAGAGGGTGAGCAAATTTGGGATGAGATTGGAGGTTGGAAGTGGGAACCGAATTTCGTCCCGAATTTCGTCCCGAATTTGAGATCAGATTGGGACTGAATTTGGTCCAAATTTTGAGATCAGACGGGGACAGAATTAGGTCGCAAAATTGAAAATTGGGAGCGAATTTGGAAATAAGCATGTTGCACAGGTGGGTTAGTAAGGAAGTTTGGGAAAGAACTCCAAAAAAAAAAAAATCCAAAAAATGTTTTGTACAGGGCCAACAGGCTGCCTGCCTAACGTGGTGGTCCAGCTGGGTGCTTGTCAGTCAGTATGACGAATATATTTATTTTGATTTTTTGTGCTTGTGTCGCGTGGAAGCCTAAATCCGTGCTTGTCTGCAGTGATTAATAATTCAAGAAGTGGGTGTCGGTGTTCATCATGGGTGGGGAGGTAAATGGGCACTGAAGGGGTGTGTTATTCCGATTTTTTTTATTTTTTTTTTCTTCAATGGGACACACTATCAGAAATGAGCAGCTGCTGTCATTAGCAGGGGTAGGGAAAAAATGACAAAAAGTATAGAAGCCTAGAAGGTAAGTTGGGATGGATGTAGAATTATGGGACTCACCCTCAGTTACAGTCTGCCTATTCCTAGGATATGGTAAAGCAAGAGCTCACAAATGAACACCATCATCGACGTAAACACCGTACAGAACGTACCTTGCCGATTAGCTCATGCTATAGGAGAAAGAAGAGCAAAAGAGGGGAACCAAGACAGGGGAAGGAAGAGGGATATGAGGAGATGAGGACGATGGACAGCAGGAGGAAGGAGGAGGAGTGATTATCTTCGTACCCTTCACACAGTGAGAGTATCTTGGGATCTCTCGAGCCTACCATCTCGTTATTGCTGGGTCTCCTAGAGGCCAATTTCGCGCTTTTCCACCACGATTGTCATTTTTCTGTAATAAATTATAAATCACAATACTAAGAATACTCCATGCGAAATTGCGTCCTTAATTCCACATGTACGTGCCCGATGTTTATACTGATATTGTACAGCACTTCTGAGAACATTGGCCTCGCTCCAGTACTCTCCACATGCACAAAACACAAAAAACATGGCGTTGTATTCTTTCCATGTTCTTGTGGAGGATTCATTCTCATTTTTGCATATTTGGTGAGTAGTGGAGCGAGGCGCCAACTGTGTTTGGATTTTTGAAAGTGTTTGAATTTTTGAAAGTGTTTATGGATGTCGATCTGACCGGAGGGCGTGGCGGCGATGATGTCAGGTCCATTTCGTGCTCTTTGAGGACGCTGTGTGGCAGGAATGGCTGGAGCAGGCGAAGAGTAACTTCATGGAAATCACGAAAGAGGACATGGACGTCAAGACGGCATAAAGGCAAGGTGACCACTGCATAAGGAGCACCTCCATGTATCCATGCTTGTGTACCTCCCTGCAAGCAGGTTGAGAGAGCATTCTATGGACGGACAACGTAGGACAGTTTGAAAAAAAAAAAAAGGAGGACAGTAATCCTTCTGCCATCTTGGAAAACACACCATGAATTTTCTTGAGAACTCTCCCTTTTTAGGGAAAGATGCATGTAACTGGTTACTACCACAATTGCTGTAACAGTAAAAGTCTGTTTCTTCACACTTTTGTGGTCCACATTCGCTGCTGGTACGAACTTTGAACTTGGACGGTGTGAATCCCATGCGCAGCACCCTCTCCTATTCAGAAGATGCATGTACCTTTTCTACCATCTGCCCCCGAATACAATGGACGGTTGCCCGAAAGGAATGCAGCAATAATGACGGTAGACCGTACGTTCTATTTTGGGGAAGATGGGTAGTTAAGAGTACTTTACAAATGTATTGTGAACAGTGGAATGGCTGAGCGGTGCACCGCACACAGAGATGCATGTGTGATATAAGAGCTCGCTTGCTCGCTCGCTCGTTCCACTGCACAACATGCTGAATGCATCTGGACAAAGGTTTAGTCGCAAACAGATTGAAAATGTCAGGTCAGTGCGAATGCGCTGCACTGCACGACGTGCAGAACCTTTGTTGTTGTTGTTGTTGTTGTTTTTGCTGTTTTCATAGATAAAGAAGAGTGTACTGCCTAAGGAACAGATCCTGTTCAAGTACAGTGGTACGAACCTTTCTTTTTGTCTCATTGGGTATAATAAATAGCCTCAAATAGGTCTTTGGCACATCAGTCCTGACTGTTAAGTGATGAAATTGCTCTTCCAACCTTTTTTTTTTTTTTTTTTTTTTTTTTTTTCATCCTACGATAGATTTCCGAAGGGGGGCACCGGTGAACACTGATCTAGGCCTGCCACCCCTTCTTTTCCCGGGTGGCTATTTCCCCCGTGCGCTGCACCGGAGCCGTGTGCACTTGTGCGCCGCACATCGTGCGCTTGCATGTATCATCTGGACCTGTAATGGTCCCGGTACATTCAAAATTGATGTTAGACGGGTTGGAATGTATCTGGTTCAGATACATGTAGAATATTGTGCAGTGGAGCCAGGGGAGGCGGCCCCATTTCACATAGTTTTTTCTTGTAGTGCAGTGTTTTTTTCTTGAACCAGCACCACCCCCGGGCCTCTTTTTCGTAATGTGGATTTGCACTGCTCACCAAAGGAAAATGATCCACCGGCAGCGTACTTCTTTTCATTTTCGGATGGCGCCGCCACCAGCCACTCTGGTCCCGTAGCATGGTTCTCCGACATGGTTCATCCGGAGAACCGGGATGGACGCAGTTTCGATTCTCAAGTTTGCATGGGCGAGGTACTGGTCGTTGAAATGTGCAGTTTGTGTTTCGCTCAGTTTTTTCCTTCTAGTTAGGTCTTTTTTTTTTTCTGAAAAAGTGCGGAGGTTTTTTGTCGTCGAATGCAGTGTTTTCATAAAAGTGCGGTGTCTTCTAACTTTTCTCGATTTGCGAGTTTGGACCGGTTTCTCGACTGATGAATGTCGTCCGTGTCCACAGAGGCCATGCTGATTCTTCTGTCTATCGTCTAGACAACTTTGGTGGATTTCACAAAGGATATCTTCTACTTGTTTTTCTTCTTCAACCCTTTTTTTTTTTTTTTCATCAGAGACTCCCCACCCTCTATCAATTTACCCAAGAACAAAACATATGCCTGAAATATGAGCCCTGAAATATCGCTCTCTGTCTGCCCTTGGCAGACTTTGTAAAAGCCCTAAACCCTGTAATAACCCTGGCATGTATCCTATTTCTCTTTGTGGGAACTTGAGGCGGGTCTCACTTCACTCACAAACTCAATCCTTCTCCGGGAAATGTCATATACTTACGTATTCATTAATCTGGCAAAATTCATTATAAAAATAAATTGTCTGCATACGTGATCCTATGGGCGCGAGAGCGTTTTCTTTTATTTACTTCGGCCTCTCGCTCAACTCGCTCACTAGCAGTGCAGATCTTTCGTTTCATGCTGAAGATCGTGCAGTTTTTCTTGTCTTTTTTCCCCTTAAAATAAAAATAAAAGACATAAAAATGCAAGCATGCAGTTTTTCTTGTATTTCGTAGCCTTTAGTAAATCAGTTCCTATTTGATGCTAGTTCTTTTGACAGAGCATTTCCCATTTCACAGACGGAGGCGCTCGCGTTCATCGAGTTTATGCTTTCTTTTTCTACATACAACCTACCGACTTCCCACCGCATTGCCATGGTTAATACACCGAAGACGCTACGAAGAATCAATGCTTGGATGATTGGTTCTTGATCTTTAATTTTTAATCCTAGCCACAAGTCATCCTCATTTTCGTACGGGGTGGGATTGGGCAGTTCCCTATCAAACGCCGGTTCATGTGGACAGCAGGATCGCACGGGTTCTCATTTCTGCTGCTTGAGTCTGCCTCTGGTTAGTTAGAGGCTCATTATTCGCGTCAGTGTGTGCGTGTGTGTTTTCCTTCCTCGATCTGTCTGTAAATAGAGGTTTCTAGAACAGATTTGCACACCTAGTGTATTCGCACAGCGGGGATGCCTTGCATCCTGTAGTTATTGACCGTAGGTTCATAAATCACACGTCTCTCTGAATCATCACGTCGTAATTCCACTTATATATCCACTTCAGGAAAATGTGTTTTTGCCATTTTTGGTAATGGATGATGCTCTAACTATAACCTATTTGATTCTTCTAATATAAGACGCGAATCAGGATGCTTGGAACTTGGAGATTCAAAAATACACACAAAACATATCCCATACTTCCCATGGATTGCGTGCTCTGTTTCGCCTCGGGAGGTCCTAATTACCAAAGTGAGTGTGTGTGTGTGTGTGTGTGTTGCACAGATCCTTCTCCTCGTCAATTTCTGATGTCGGTGTGGGGGCAACCTGTCTAACGAATGGAATCATAAGGGAAAAAAAAAGGGTGGGGGAAAAAAGCGTGGAATGGAAACACTGTATGAAATTTTGCAAATGGAATTTGGGATATTGTTTTCCCAAAAAAAAGAAGGAAAAAATAAAAGAAGATGTCCAGACTCTAGACTGCAATACCATTCTTAGGAACAAACATTTGGGTGGGCAATTTTTTTTTTTCTAATTATTATTATTATTTTGAAACAAACGGAACCTTATGGTTCCGGTTCCTTCTCCATTCTGGGGAGCGTCAGTCCGGTTCCTATTCCACCGGCAAGTCTGAGAAGATTACAAGATATACACGCTCACGCTCCTCCCCCTTGTGGTGTGGAGGCCCGAAGGACGCCATTGATTACTTCTGTAGGGAAGGATGTACCACCCTTCACCCCTGCGTAAGTTAGCCTGCTTTATTGGGAACCTGGATTTGTCTCGTAGCTGTTGCTAGAACCCTAAACCCTGATTTGGTACATCCGTGTCTTTAATTTGTCTTCGGGAACCGTATCTGTAACTTGACTTGATGAGGTCGGAGGATATAGTCTGAGATCTAGATGTCTCTTGAAGGGGATTGTTGGATTTGAGGTGAGGGTGATCTTGACAGGGGGGGTGTTATGTTTTGGGGGGTGGCTGGGCTGGGGAATGTGGAGTTTATCGTGATGTACTAAGTATTGTAAGGAGGGAGTGGGGAGGGAGGGGTGGAGGGGGTTTAGCGGGTGGCTTGACGGGGGTTGAGTTAATGTGGGGGCGGACGGCTGAGGGTGTGGGGTGCATGATGAGGGGGAGGGGTAGGTCTGGTGGGGGGCGAGGGGTCTTAGACTGTCTCTTATACACATCTAGATGTGTATAAGAGACAGGTGGTAGGTAGGTAAAGGGAGGAAAAATTGAGAGAAGAGTATAGTTTCAAAAAAAAAAAAAAAAAAAAAAGTAATAACCTTCAAAGATTTAGAACTTTCAGTTTGTTGTGTGTGTGATGCACTAGAACTTAGAGTAAAATACTCTCTCTCTCTCTCTCTCTCTCTCTCTCTCTCTCTCTCTCTCTCTCTTTTGTAAGACCACAAAATAATCGCTTCAACTACCTTAGGGCTGCGTTCCCCCTGCCCACGCGGTATACAATAGAATTTCGGATCTCGATGCCCCCGGTACCATGTGGGACCAAGGGAGGGCCGGGGCCAGCGGTGCCTATCTTGGTGGTAGGGCGTCGGTTGACTGGAGGGCTGTTTGGCCCGGTAATGCAGGGGCAGAGCACGTAGCACTGGCCGCTGCTTTCCCTTGGCCGTGGAAAAAAACTCGAGATCGAGTTTGGTAACTGGTGGAGCAAGGCCCTTTAGCATTACCATTTTTCTTTTGTGACAGTGAGGGCCTCGTTCCACATCACTTGAGTTCAAGAGCGAAGCGAAAAATCATTGTTCCACCCCCCCCTTAGAGAGACCGGCTTTGTTTTCACTTTTTTGCGTCCCAAGGGTGCCGCCTTGAAACTCAAGGGCGACACAGCCAAAATTGCCCTTGAATTCAAGTCACCTCCCGGAGTTCAAGTGCCAGTGGATACCGCCAGCACTCTGAGTGGGGCCTTTTTTTCGTTTTTCTTTTTTTCCAGCAGGCGATCCTGGTCCAGGATTGGTCAAGCCGTGTTCTGTTTCAAGTGCAGCCTGTTCAAGGGTTTCCTCAAGTGTACATGGAACCATAAATAGAGTAATTTTAAATTAATCACAATTTCTCATTTAGTGTGCACTTGAATTGAAACTCAAGTATTTTCAAGTGGTGTGGAACGAGCCTCTCAGGGGCCCTAACAGATACTCGTCTTGCTCATCTTTGCAAGCTCCACTACTCCACTATCGGGGGTCGAAATTTCCCGCTACTGGAATCTTTTGCGTCGATTCCCGCTCTTCCGGGGTTGCGATGAAGATTGACCATCCTTCGGTGCGATCGGAGGCCTTCGGTGCGATCGGAGGGCGAGGAGGGGCTACGGCGGAAGGACGGCGGGTGAACCTTGATTTCGCGAATTCCAATCGTTTTGCTTTTTGGCGGGGGATTCCTGCAGTTTTTTTCCTTTGTTTTCTTGTTTTCGCGTTTTGGCGGGAAGCAAGTGTGGAAGGTCGAGGAAGCTGGCGTTGGTCGACCCCTAGCGGCCTTTCGCGGGAAAAAAAAGGTGAAAATGTATGCAGCGACAGAAGCTGGCATTGGGCGAACTGCCGCCGTTGAGAACCACGCGCGCGCGCTGTAAATTGCTGATGGCGGTTTGGCGAAAGTTTGAATCAGATGACTTTACGGCAAACCGCCATCAGCACTTCGGCTCCGAGCTGCAGCGGAGGGTGGCCGGCGGGTGAATTCGTATATGTGCTTTTTGCGTCCGTTGTGTTTCAGTTATATGCGTGTGTGATTGTGCGTGCACATGGGTGTGCGTGTGGTCCGCGCCGGTTTGACTCACGTCTATGCGGCTTGCCACCGTTTCTCTGTTTATAGCTGATTGTCTGGTTGTCACCGAGGCGCAGGTCAGCCGCAGCAGCTGCTGCCAAGGACCGCAGTTGGTTCTGTTGCTTTGCGAAGGAGAGTAGGAGTAGCAAATGCGTTAGCAGGTTCGGGATCGGGAAATCGCCGGCGCTACGGTTTCGACAGCACACTCTGCCGCTCATCAAAGCATCGATCGTATTCAGGCACGCCACGGTGTGGAGAGGCTGTGCAGAGATTTGTGCAGGAGAAAAAAGACCGCGACAATATGGAGGGAGGATCTGAGAAACCGGCAGATATGGCGCAGGGGGGGGTGAAAATACGAGTAATGTCATGGACGACCTCTGCTCCTACCGATAGCGAAAAGGGAGAGGATCGAGGAGGATCTGAGAAACGCGCAGATATGACGCAGGAGGCGGAGAAAGTGGAATCGTCGCCAACCTGTCCTGTTAGCGAAAAGGGAGAGGATCAAGGACCGCAACGAAATGTGGCTGCGCAGGTTGAAACACCGGAGGATCGTCCGGTCCTCGTTAAATTGCAGGAGAAAGGCGGCGTTAGTATGGCGGCAGCATCCGAGAAACAACTGAGGGAGCAGCAGCAGCAGGAGGAGGAGGTGGAAAAAGTGCCATCGGAGTCGTCTCCCCCAAGGGATAGAGTAGAGGATCAAGGCCCGCAACGGAATGGCTTTGCAGAGGATCGAACGGCGGTAGATCTTCCGGGGAATGGGTTTGCAGAGGATCGAACGGCGGTAGATCTTCCGGGGTTGAACTTCTTTGAATTGCAGAATAGAGGCGGGGTTATGGCGGCGGGGGGTGAATCTGAGAAGCTGGCGCAGTCGATGGAGGTGGATAAAGCGCCCTCGCAGACGTCGTCTCGTAGGGGAAGGGAAGATGATAGAGGAGCACAACGAAACGTGCGATCACTGTTTCAAACGATTGCGTATGATCCTCCGCGCTTCTTCCAGCTGACGGAGACTTGTCGATTGGTCCTTCAGCGCGGAGATATTACCAAGTGGAGTGTAGACAGGAAGTCGGATGCAATCGTACGTATGTAAATCCACTCGCGTGCACCCATCCATGGCTCGATGCGATGCATTACTTAACTTCCAAAGAATTTCGCTCTCGTACAAAGAACACGCATGTGCACCCATGGATCGATGCATTGCTTGACTTCCAAAGAATTTCGCTCTCGTACAAAGAACACGCACGTGCACCCATGGATCGATGCAGTACTTGACTTCCAAAGAATTGCGCACTCGTACAAAGAACGCGCATAGACTCACAGACAACACACACACCTACGCACATCATCACACCAGCAGACAAAAACACTTGAGAATTCAATTTCACTGAGCCCATGTTGGAGACGGCGTAAATAGAGAAATCAGGAGAAACATAACAAAACAAAAAGCTCTCACTAGCACACGAACGCACACACAAACACACACACAAACACACACACAAACACACACAAAGACACACAAAGACACACGAACACACACGAACACACACGAACACACACAAACACACACAAACACACACAAACACACACAAACACACACAAACACACACAAACACACACAAACACGTAATAAGGGCCATCTGTGGATGCATGTTGCTGCAATT